TGCGCCGACGCCAGCGTGGCCTACGGGAGCCAGCGAGACGCCAGTCTCCAGGCCAAGGTGGATTATCTCCTCCACGCCGCACGCGCTGCCGCCCCCGCCGCGCGGGCCGCCGGCGCGTTGACGCCACGGCCCGCGGCCGGTGGAGATTTTGGCTTGGATCGGGCGCCCGCGCCGCCCGCGCCGCAGTCCGCGGCCGCTGGAGATTCTGGCCTGGATCGGGCGCCGGCGCCGCTGCCGCGCCGCTGGCTGGTGGACCCGCTGGTGGAACGGTGGCAGAGGCTGGCGGACCGCCGTGGCAGGCCGCGCGATGATGGCCCAGCGGGCGGCCGCGGCTCGGAACCCGAGGATGATGACTTCGCGCCGCACCCCGAGGCTGGCCCCTCTCAGCCGGCTGGTCAAGGCCCCGTGCCTGGCCGTGCTGCGCGCGAAGGGCAGGGGCGTGGTCGGTCCCGCTCACCGGCTCGCGAGCTCGACGCCGGGCCGCACCCCGACGCTGGCCCCTCGGCGCTGCCGCCCGCCGATGATGGAGAACCTGACGCAGGGGACGCGGGCGTGCCGTCCGCTCCCAGCCCGGCGCAGGGGGCTGCGGTCTCGCACCTCGTGGGGGCCCTCGTGGTGGGGGCGCTCTCGGCCGCAGCCGCGACCTGTGGGACCGAGGGCGCCGAGGCGGACCCGCAGCCAGACGCGGCGCCTGGCGCAGGAGAGGAGGCGACCCCGCCCGATGCCCTCGCGGCGCATGACGGCGGGGAGCAGGCCGCCGACGGCGCTGACGCGCTCCGCCCGGCGCCCAAGCGCCCCAAGCGGGCTCCGCGGCCGCCGCGCGCTGGCCCGATCTTGGCGGCGCTTGGCCCGATGAAGGAGAGGCTCGAGGAGCGCGCCCGAGGTGCGGAGGCACCCGCGCCTTCGGCTGCCTCAGCTGGGGGCGATGCTCGCCCTGCTGGTTCGGCGGAGGCGGCGGCGCCCCGTGGCGCTGCCTCGCAGGTGCACGTGCCCGGCGACGCCGAAAGCCACGGCCAGCAGACGCCGAGCGCGAGGTCTCGTGGCCGGATGGCCGAGTACGGGGCCACGGTGAGCCGCCCCGCCGCGCGACCTGCCTTGAACACGAGCGGTGGCGCGGCGTCCGAGGGGGCAAGGCCCCCTCCCGCCCACCTGCTCCTCCTGCCGCTGCTCTCGCCCGCGGGGAGGGGGGGTCGTCGTCGTCGTCGGGTGGATCGTCGGGTGGAGCGGGCGTCGGGTTGGGAGAGAGTGCGAGCGGCCCCGCCGGCGCGGGTGGTCCGGCAAGGTGCGTGCAGGACCGTGGCCACGAGCTTGTCACGTGTTCGGCGTTCGTGGTCTGCCGTCGCTGCGGGGCCTACGTGTCACGCAGGGCCAGGCGGCTCCAGAACGATTGCACTGGAGCTCTCCCCCCGCTCAGGGAGTGCGACCCTGCCGAGAGAGAGCGGCGCCGACGACGCGATCGCCTCCTGGCAGGGCTGCACCCCCGCACGGGTGCCAGCCTGAGCGGTGCCCCTCGCGGCCTCTAGGGGCCCTGGGGCGGGGTCCCTCTGGTCCTGCTCGGTCTGGGCGGCCCGTGTGGTTGGGGTGGTCCTGGGGCCCCGTCGCCTGGGCTGGCAGCTGTGCTTGCGTAGGGCTTGGGGCCTAAGCTGCCCGCGTTGGCCCCCGCGGCCAACGCGCCTGGGAGTTATCCATCCTAGACGTTTCGGGAGGCCCCTGTGGCCTGCCACTCGGCCCAAGTGCTGAGTGGCCCTGGCGCCCAAGCGGTGTCGCACGGTGACGCGGGGACACGTTGCCAACTGGCCGAGTCGGTGGGTAGGCCCCACGGGGTCCCCCGCCGTCCTCTCATGGCGTTCCAACACACACACACACACACACACACACACACACACACACACACACACACATGTGTGTATTTCCACATTAAAAAGTGGGAGCCAGCATGACACTTCCATCTTCTCTCCTCCTGTGTGCTTCCTTCCTCTTCCCTGTTGTTGCCCAGACCTTCCTGCTGTTTCCATCTCCACCTCCCTTCCATGTCTCATGTACGCACGCGTGTGCTGTAAGACCGGGGCCCGTGGTTCTGGCGGGTTTGGGGAAGGGGGGGGCGCGGCAGGTCCCGTAGTGGACGGGAGGATGAGGACAGGACTGGAGAGGCCAGAGAGACAGAGAAGCCAGAGACCGCACAGAGAGAGCACACGGCAGCAGGCCAGCAGAAGGTCTCCCTGCCCGGCGCCCCGAGGGGGGCAGGAGGCCCCGTGGGGGCAACAAGTTCTCGATGTCGAGCGTATCGTATGCCGCCCGTTGGTTGGTTGAATTAATGTTGAGTCCTGGGGGCCGTCTATCGAGAGAGTACCGTCGGACCGAGGTATAAGATCGAGGTCGGTTCGGGGAGAATACCCTCGTGTTCTTCCTGTTCGTTGAATGTCATTGTGCGTCCTGGGGGAAGGCACCCTTAGATGTTCTGTTTGTTTTGGCTGGCGGAGGGTCTCATATTTTTGAATTATTATGGCCTAGGTCCGACTGTATGTCGGTAGCGGATCCCATCGTGGCATTCCCATCCGTTTGCACAGCTAGCCAAAGTGGCTAGCTTCCCAGTTCTGGTTTTCTTTCTGCTGGCCCAGTGCCTCGCTCCTGGAGCCCCTCGTCGCTGTCTGGAGCCTCTGGAGACACCGCCCCCGCCCACACCGGGGTGCCGATTTCTGGATCCTCAGGGGCCGTATTGCCATGCCTCGGGCCCTGGGGGGCACTCGATCGCCTCCCAGCGTCACCGTCCCGAGCTTTTCCGCACAAGAAACCTCCAAGACGGCCCAAGACGGCCCAAGAGGTGCCCAAGAGGCCTCCAAGACGGCCCAAGAGGCCTCCGAGAGGTCCTCCAGGAGAGTCCAAAGAGGCCAAAATCATAATCATTGATCGTCCTTAGGTCTTTGAAGGTTTTTCGTACTTGCTCCCGCGCGGAACGGAGCGGCGCGCTATCCGATCGCAGGGCACAGCGTGCCGCCGGGGCCGCCGCCGCGGCACGCTGTGCAAGAAGAGTGCCTGGCCGCACGCCGAGTCCACCGGGGGGGCGGAGGCCGAGAGCTCCTCTTGGCCGCGGCGGGTCCCCACGGCCTCGAACGGCCTCGCGTGCGGCCTCGTCCTCCTCAGGCGTGCGGGCGTACGAGCGGTGGCTGGAGCCCGCGCCGCGCCGCGCGGCACGCCCGCGCGGCACGACGCAGGCCTAGCTACTTCCGACGGCCTCCGAGAAAGCCAGGAAGCCTCGAAGAGCGGGCCAGGGACCCACGGGACCCCCGCCAAGAAGGAAGAGAAACAAGGCCTCAGAGGTCCTCGGAGAGAAGGAACGGCGGGGGCCACCAGGCCGCCTAAATCTACGGGTCCTTCGGACCCCCTACCACCACCCCGATAGTGTCGAGGACCATCAGCACGCAATCGATGTCACGGGTGGTGGACGGGGGTCGAGGCGCATCTGCACATGCAGACCGACGGGCCCCCTTAAGCCAGGAGCCAGGCCGGGAACGGGGAACCAGCAGGAACCAGGCCAGGCCAGGCACACAGCAGGGGGCCCGCGGAAAACAGGGCAAAAGGAAAGCGGCCGCGGGGCCGCGAGGCCAGGGGAGGAGGGAGGGGCCTCCAATGGCTCGATGAGGCCCGAGCGGAAGGAGGGGGGATCGGGGGCCCTCACCGGGGGCCCCCGCGGCCGACAGCCCCGCGGGGCTATCCTCACGGGCGTCGTCCTCAGCCCCCCCCGCCTTCAGCAGGGGGCGGTGTACCAGTCGTGGTGGGTCACGTAGTCCGTTGAGCCCGTCCAGCTGCTGGTTCGTGAACCCGTCACGCTGTCCGTGAGCCCGTCCAGCAGCCGCCAGGATGCGTGAAGTGTCGCCGTCGTCGTCGCTGGGTGTGCTGGAAGCGCATGCCTGCTATGCTGTTGTCGGTCATGGTGACGAGGTTGTTGCTCTTCAGGTGTTGGAGCTCGTGCAGGGCGGTTGCCATGATCTCTCCGACTCTCATAAAGCAGGCAGTGTCGTTGGCGATGCAATTGTACATGAAGAAGATGGCATCGCGTATCTTCGCGTTGTCCTCCATGATGGTTTTGGATTATTGTCCGCTAGAGTCTCATCTTCCCCACGGGTGTTGCTCGTCCCGTAGTTTTCTTCATTTGTCTAAGCTCGGTATGGTCTTCTTGTAGTAGATGGCGTCAGTGGCTCCGTTCCTTATTGCTTGTTGGATGGCATTGTTGGTGTGGCCAGGACGTCTGTCGTTGTTTGCCCGACACGTATGATTTGCTGTTGTGAGGAGTCGTATTCGTCGGTGTAGTGTGATTGCTTGCCGCTCGATATCGTTGACGATTCGCAGCGTGTCGTCGTTGGTGGCGTCCTTATCGGTGATGAGCACGATTGTCGACGTGCGATTCAGCATGTCCTCGCGTGCTAATGGTGTCTCGTAGTCGACCGCCTCGTGGCATAGTCGGCTCTCCCGATCCAGGGCGTCTTCCGTCAGTCCTCGTCGCACATCTGTCGTTTCATCTGCTTGTGGTGACAGAGGAACTGGTGCAGGTATCATTGCAGTGAGTTCGTTTTCCACTCTTGTTCGTAGAGCGAGTGGCGGTCCGTGTAGTTGGATGCACGGACGTTCTGCGTAGTCTTCGGGTAGTCCTCTATTTTTTGTTGGTCCGCCCTATGCGCTGTATCTCTTCGGATGTGTCTGCTGCCGCGTCGTCGTCGGGCCGCTTGCTGAACTGCATTGTGAGTGCTGCACGTTGTCGGTTGGCGCACATGTGCTTGAACAGTCGATTGGCCGTCCAGTAGTCCATCATACAAACCTGGCATATAGAGCCGTAGATGTAGTTGATGATCTTCTCGTCCTGGCTGTGCTTTGCATACCTCCTCCTCCTCCTCCTCCTCCTCCTCCTCCTCCTCCTCCCTCCCTCCCTCCCTCCCTCCCTCCCCCTCCCTCCTCCCTCCTCCTCCTCCTTCTCGTCCATTCTCCTCCCGATTCATGTGTCCCGCAGCCATTTTGGCTCCGGCGCGCGGCTTGAAGCGCGCGCGCCGATGCGCACGATCGCTGGAAGCCCGATCGGTCCAGCGTGAGCTGGTACCGCGCTGAGGGGGCCAGCCCTCGAAGAAGAAAGGGCAGGGTAAGCAGAAACCGTCCGCGCTCCGCGCACAGTTTTTGGATCTGCTCCGGGGCCCCTCGGCGGCGCCTCCAGCGCCGCCTCTGGCGCGCTCCCCGCGCTGAGGAGTGGGGCCCAGCGCCGATCCCAGAAACCCGCGCGGAGCTCCGAAGGGTTACGTTTACATAGCTTGTTCCTCCTCGTTTTAGCCCTCCAGCGATGATGCTTGCCGCCATGAAGAAGGGCGACGGCGGCGAGGGCGCGAAGGGGGCGAAGCCGGGTGGTGGCCTCCTGGGCCTCGGCGGCTTGGGAGGCCTCACTGGCGTCGGGGGCCTCAAAAGCAAGATGACGGGGATGATCGGGAACAAGATTGATGAGGCCGCCTGGCGGAGCAGCCTGACGGACATGCACAGGGTCAGGAACATGGCCAGGACACTGTGGTTGAGCCTGGAGCACACCAGCGAGGCGGTGATGCGGGTCGCCCTGGAGATCGTGACGTGCCGCAAGGCCAGGAAGATTCTCTGGTGGAATGACGATTCCTGGTCAATGGAGGAAGGCAAGCCAGAGCATCTACGAGGTGTCATCGACGAGAAGTTCGATGCCGTCCTCCAGATGTTGGGCAGGGAGCTGAAGGAGCGGCCGGCGCCAGAGCTCAAGAGCGGCCCCAGCAACCGCGAGATCGAGCTGGAGAAGCAGCTCGGCGACTTGCAGAAGCGGCTCAAGATCTCGGAGCTGTCTTTGGCCGAGTCCAAGCGCCTGATGGAGGAGCAGCTGGAGGAGGCCAGGAGCAGGATCGCCCAGCTGGAGCACAGCGGCGCTTCCCGAGGCGAGACCGCGCTCGCGTCGGAGGTCGAGCGGCTCCGTGCCCTGGAGCAGGAGCAGGCGGCCGCGATCGCCTCGATGAGGGCCGACCTCCAGAGGAAGGCCCAGCTGGAGGCTCTGCTCGGGGAGAGGTCGGCCGAGCTGGAGAGAGCCCGCAGGGAGGCCGAGGAGGCGAGGGAGGCCGTTCGTCAGAAGACCGAGGAGCTCGACAGGCTTTGGGTAGAAACAGCCTGCCTACACCGATCAGAAATCTTCAGGAAAAAACGCAGCATGTTGTGGCCTCCAGATCTCGCTCAAGACAATCGAGCATCTGGACTGGACCTTGGGCGTTGTCTTGGAGCTCCTCTTCGTGGCATGTTCGTAGATGTGGGCCTGGACTGCTGGTGAAGAAAACGCTTCGAGGGAAGTCGGTTTACTTCGCCTGCAATGTTCTTAACTCGGAGCTGAGGCGTACGTGAGCATGACGGATTTCTGGGGCGGGCGCCAGACCACCCTGGCGGCGCCCCCAGGCGCTGCCCCTGGCGCGCTCCGCGCGCCAGGAAGGGGGCTGGGGTTCAGCGCCGGCCCAGGAAAACCGAGCGGAGCTCCGAAAGTTTGTGTATACGCCCCAGCGCAGAGGAAAGAAGCTTCCAGGCCAAGAAGACGAACTTCTCTCGAGGCGGGTTCTTAACCAGCAGCCCAATGTACGAACCTTCCACCGAGAAGCTCCAAGAAACGCCCAGGGTCCGGCCCAGATTCCTGATTGTCTTGAACGAGGTCCAGAGTCCATGAAAGGCGACGCGTTTTCTCAAGATGCCTGATGGGTGTATGCTGGTCTTTGTTCCTCCAAGGCTGCGCCGTGATGGCTCTGGGGCAGCTGGGGCGCAGCTCCAGAAGGAGATCGACGAGCTCCGGCAGAACAACTACAAGCTGCAGGACGAGGTGGGGTTCCTGAAGGCGCAGCTGGCAGCGGCGCAGGCTGCCGCCGCCGCGGCCTCGAAGGCCGAGAGAAAAGAGCCCGACGCGCCACCGCCGCCGCCGCCTCCGCAGGCCAGTGCTGACGAGTCAGCGGAGCTCGAGCGTCTTCGGAAGCTTGAGGCGGAGTGGAACTCGAGGGGGGAGACGTGCTGCACTTGCGGCAAGCCTTGCCTGCATTGCACTGGCGCTCTCCCAGAGGAGCCGGCCGCCGCCAAGGAGAAGGAGCCGAAGAATAGTTCCAGGGACGACAAGGAGGTTCAGGAGATGATCGAGAGGAAGGACGCCGAGATCGCGAGGCTGAAGGCCGAGAAGAAGGAGCTCGAGACGGAGAGGATGGACATGCTGGCAATGATAGATAAGCTGCGCAAGCAGATCTCCAGGCTGAAGGAGGTTGCGCGGGAGGCTGGTCACGGTGACCTCGTAGAGAAGTTGATGGAGCAGTCGGCGATCGCCGAGACAATGCGGAGCCCCGAGATGTCCTGCTTCTCCCGGCTGTACCAGGACGCCGTGAGGCGCATGACTGAGGGAGGGCGCAGGAGATCGACGCAGAGGGATTTCGTGCAGCCTCGTGTGGTCGTGACCAAGCAGAGCGTCTTCCAGATGGCGCAGCAATTCCCCGGGGTGCCCCCCCCCGTGCAGCAGCTGCAGCAGGCCCCCGCCGCTGGGCGCCACGCCGCGGCAGATGTGGCTCCGCAGGGCCTGGAGCTCAGAGCCGGGCGAGGAGTCCGAGGAGCGATAAGGTACCGATGCCGCTGCTCGTCCTGGAGAGCCCTCGTCGCCGCGGCTGGACTCTCCTCGAACTTCTGGTCAGAACGCACCCCCGGGAAAGGTCCAAGGAGTCGCGGTGTTGGTACATGGTTTGCCCCCCTAGGAGGCAGCCTAGAAAACGCGCGCGCGGCGGGCGCGGAGCGGCACGCGCGCTTCGAGCTGGGCGGCATCGCGGAGGCCGCGACCTACTCCGAGGGCGGCTTCCTGCTAAGCGGCGCGGGCGGCGCCGCTGGCGGCGGGCTGCCGCGGCAGGGCGGCGGCCACTGGAGGCGTCGGCTAAGCGTACGATTAACCTTCCGCCGGAGTGACCTTCGGTGCGGTCCCACCCGGGCCCCTGGCTCCATTGCCCTCCTCGCTTGGATCGGCACGATCGAAATTAGTACGGAAAGAACGGGCAGAAAGGCCGACAGCATTTCCTGTTCGTATTGAACAGGACTCGCTGTGCGCGCCGCCGCGGACGTTGTCCACCGAAGATGAAGAGCCTCCCGCCCAACAGCGGCCGCTGCCGGTTGGGCATCGCACCCACTCTCTCCGTACCCACTTCGGGCGTCCACACTGGAGTTGGCCCCCCCGCGGCCTCCCGAAGCCGCGCACCAGAAAGGCCCCTCTTGGCCATAGGGCCACCCTCTTGCGCGCAGCCGAAGGCTGAGCACCACGACGGGCTCCCTGCAGAGGGGCGCCCCGCAGCCCCAGCAGGGCAGCGCGGAGCTCCTCTGGGGCTTCGGCGGCCACGGCCCGGAGGGCCCGGCCGCCGCGCCCCGCGGCATGCTGGCCGCGGAGGGCCTGCCTGGCGGCCGCAGGGGCCTGCCGACGAAGCCGCTGGGTCCAGGGTTCGCGAGCGCGGCGGGCCTGAGGATCGCGGGGCAGAAGGCTGCCCGAGCACAGGTCGAGGGAGGAGGACCCAGACATGATCGCGTCGTAAGAAGATCAGGACGGGGCACTTTTGGCCAATTTCGGCCTCGGGGGGCCCTCGCCGAGCCTCGGGACCGTCCAAAAACGATTCAGGATGAAGAAACGATCCTGGGGAGAGGGCCGGGACTTCAGGGGCCCCGCGTTGAAAAACTCAGGACGTCGCCGCATGCCTGGGGAAGGACCCCGACCCCCATGATTAGCGTTTATTGGACGGCCATGGGCGTTTACCAAGCGGCTCTGCCCTGTTCGATTCCTCCCCTGGGTGCGTTTACTGAGCGATTTCGCTAGTCTGGGGTGCTGATGATGAGGGTGATCCGATTGCTTTCTACTCGACTTTGGGAGCTCCGCGGAGCGCGCCAGGGGGGCGGCCCAATAGACTAATAGCTTCGCTCTCAAATAGACTGGCCTCCTCTCTGGCGCGCGGAGCGCGCCAGGGGCAGGCGCCGCTGGTGGAATCCAGCGCCGATCCAAGAAGTCCGCGCGGAGCTCCGAAAGTGCATGCTTGTGCTGTTATGTGTGAGGCCACCGATATTCCATCCGTGCCCCTGCTCACGCCCCAACCCCACCATGGGGCCAGAGTGGAGGCATGGGTATGAACCTTGCCCCAGGCGCCTGGCCTTTCATCCATACCCGTCTGTTCCTGGCGCCCAGAGAGCGGGGCAGCAGCACGGGCATGGACTGAACGTCGATGGCCGATGTGCTCCTCCGTGAGGAGGAGCCAGGCAGCGCAGGGCATGCCGAGGACAGACGCGGCGCCCAGACTGCCCGTGCCCAGGGGCGCCGGGCTGCCCGGGCTGCCGCGGGTCGGCAGCGACCCCCTGCTGCAGGGCTCGAGGAGCGAGCCGCAGCTGCGGAGGGCGAGCGGCCTCGCGACGCCGAACCGCCTGCCGCAGCTGCCCGTGGGCAAGGGCAGCCAGCCCACGAGCCGCTCTCCGAGCCGGTCTCGGCAGGGCTCCAAAGGAGCCTTACCCTTCAGCTGAGCCGGCCGCTGCCACTCCCAGAGGAGCGCGAGGTAGCCGAGACGACGGCGGTGGGCCTTCGGGAGGGCCCCCTCGTCGCCACGGCCGCGCGCAGCTCGGAAAGCTGGTGGAGGAGGAGGAGGAGGAGGAGGAGGAGGAGCGCTTGGGCCCAAGCAGGAGTCTGGGGAGCCGAGCTCGAGCTGCCGTCGTCTCCGCTCGCCCCGCTCCAGGGCCACCGCCCAGCTTGCGCGCGGGAGGCCTCGAAGGGGCCGTTCCGAGCGCCCTCTGTGCGAGCGCAGTCGGGGCTGAGGGGCGCCGAGGGCGCAGCGCCGAGGTCCCGCGAGCTGCAAGCAGGGCCATGCCCCCTTCTCCAACTCCCAGGGTCCACTACGATCCGATCGATCCGCTTCGATCGATGTCGAATCTGGCCGGCCCAAGCCCACTCGATCCCGATATTCCGACGATGCGATGCGGCCCGATGCTGCATGGCGCTGTTGTGCAGATCCTGGCGCCGTCGATCCGATTCGATTCCGACTCTCTGCCGTTGCGGCCCGATTCGATACACGATTTCCCGAGTCGATGCTCATTGTTCCTGCCTCTCCCTCCCTCCTCTTTTCTAGGGGAACGAAGAATGGCAAAAACATGTAAACTCTGAGGTCCGCGCGGATTTCTCGGATCGGCGCTGGGCCCCCCTGGCGGCGGATCCGCGAGAACCTCCGAGTTGTTCTGTGTATGCCATGTTTCGTTCCCCCATGCCTCCCCCACCATCCTCTTCTCGCAGAGGGGGCAGCAGCAACAGGAGCGGGAGGAGGAGGGGGGGTGCCAAGATCGCCGAAGACCAGGCGGGCATCAGACGACCGACCGATCTAGACTTGGTGGAGGCCGCAGGGGAGTAGTCAGGCTCGAAATTCAGGTTTGGGAGGGTGAAATCCTGACTCTGGGATGGGAGCGAAGAACGTTCTCACTGAGGGCTGAAAGGAGAAGGAGGGGGATGATCAGAAGAAGTTGGGAAGAAGAAGAGGAGAAAGATGGAGGAGGAGGAGGAGGAGGAGGAAGAGGAGAAGAAGGAGGAAGAGGAGGGCAAGGATAGGAGCATGCTTTAAACATGTACCGTTTCCCTGGGGCACCGCATCTTGTCTTCCCCTGTGACGCAAGCAGATCCTTGCACCGCGATCTCAGGACACTTTGCTCAGGGACCCGTTGTTTGAGTACCTCGCGCCAGGCATCCCTAGATTTCGCGGTGGGGTGGCCTGATCAGGACCTCCCATTTGCCCGAACATCATGACGGTCTTGCAGTGAATGCACACCAACCCGAGTTGGCCATTCGAGCACTGCGCGGCGATTCACGCAAGGCTTCAGCTCCTGGATGGCTCAGACTTTCTCTGGAGGCGCTTCTCTGGAGCATTCTGCAAGAGGGAACAAGGCCGCACATTGCCGACAAGCAGCCGTGAAAGATGCCACCCGCCCTCGCGAGAAGCTCGGGGCGGATACGCTGTCGCTGCCGGTTGCGGAGCACGCTCGGCACCGGACGAGAGAGATCGAGAGGGCGCCGAGGCCCGACAGGAGCCGCGCCGCCGACCTGCACACGGGCGGAGAGGTTTTTTCTCGGAGACGGAGAGCGACCGCTTCTGCCTCGGCCTCCGAAGGGCCGAGGGCGCAGGCATCGAGGAGGAAGCAGAGATGTTCCGACGGAGAGGCCCCACAGGATCACCCAGCCAGGCTGCCCGCGGGTCGCCTCCCGCTCCCTCCTCCTGCACCCTCCTCCCGCGTCCTTCTCCCCTTTGCCCCATCCTCTTGCCGTTCGCCTCTCTCTGCCTCCTCCTTCTCGTCCGCAGGCCTTCTCCTGCCTCCTGCCTTCTCCTGCCTGCTGCTGCTGCTCCTCCTCCTCTTCCATTTCTTCCATTTCCTCCTCCTTCTCCTCCTCCTCCTCATCCTCCTTGTCGGCCTCCTCGTCCTCGTCCTTTTCCTCGTCCTCCTACTGCCTGCTCCTTCTTCACCTCCTCAATCATTTTCTTTCTTGATAACTCCTCCCTGTCGCACCCCGTGGCCGGTCGAAATTGCGGGCTGAGCGCTTCGCTGGAGAATTCTTAATTGTTTCTGAATTTGATGTTTAAAACTTGACAACGGTCTCACAAATGGAGGGCGGGTGGTTGTCAAGATGTGGTGCAGTATACGGCGCAATTACCAGCAGACCTCGGCGAATCCGATGGCGCGTCGTGGGATCGATTATTTGTTATATTCCTCGCGTGCCTCGACCATATCGTCGGTGCCGTGTGTTGTGCCTTGCCGTGCCCACTTTTATCGTGTGGTGCCGTGTCATGTATCTGCACATGTTGTTGAGGGCCTCTTGGTGGAGAGGTATGCGTTTGCGCCATGTTGTGTATATCTCGTTGTTGCATAGACCACATCGGGAAAGAAGGAAGGGTAGGGCGAGTTCAGAAAGCGGCATGTCTGAAATTCGAGTTGCAGTTCGAGCCTCGAATTGCATGAGATACTGACTCGGTGGAGCGCGCCATTTGCATGCGGGAGGCAGAATTGGCGCACGACATTGTTACTGTGCTGTGCAGCCCCAGATTGGCGCGATGGCCTGTTTCCCTTCGTGCAGCGTGCGGGGCGAAGGGGAAGGGGAGCGAGAAGGGAGATAGGGGAGTAGCACGATGAGGAGAAGGATGATGGCGTGGAGGGTGAGGAGGAGGAGGAGGAGGAGGAGGAGGAGGAGGCCCCCGCGCTGGGGCAAAATGGCCTGCGCATCATTCGCCAGCCCCGAGGCTTCTGGAGTGACCTTGTTCTCTCGCTGCACGGCCTGACATATGATGTCTGGCCGCTCTCAGCGAGCAGAATGCCCACATGTGCTGTTAGGTGGAGGGGCTGGACCCGCTTGGCTTCCCCACCCAGGCCAGTAGAGTACTCATGCAATGAAGAGTCAGGCTCTTACGGGGGAGGCGAGGGTGATGTACTCCAGCATCGTCATCACCGTGCCTGGCCCCGCGTGGCGCAGAGCCCGCCTTCTCCGACTCCAACAGGCTCGAGGTGCGGGCTCCCCGAACGCAGGCGGGCCACCACGCCGTTCTGAGTTTGTCCGGAGCCTGTGCAGTGCACGGGTGTCCAACGACGACGTCCACCACCACCACCACCACCACGACGACGACGACGACGATTCAGCGCACGCGGCACGAGCCCCGAAGAATAGACCCCCACCCACGAGGGTTCCACAGCAGCACCACCCCACACTGGAGCCTGGTTTGTTAGATGGCAGTGTGTGGACAAGCTCGAAGGGCAAAGGGCGGGTCGGTTTAGAGGATACGGGCAGGAGTGTTTGCTTAGCGTGTCTCGGCGGTGGCCCCGGCGACACGTTGTGCCCTGAGAGCTGATAGCGTGTCGCTCCGCTCCGCGGCGGGGCAGGAGGCTGGGCAGAGCTTTGGCCGTTGACGCCTGGAAATGGGAACGTGATGGGCCAGGACCAGCGGGGCGACACGCTAAGCACAAGCTCGCGACTGCAGATCTGCTACGCCGCTTCTCCACCCCCCGCTGCACTCCCAAAATGTCGTTCGAGCGCCTTCCGGCACTCTGCGTGCACGCAGCCGTCCTGGCCCAATGTGACGGACGACGGAGGCCGTGCGGCGGCCAGCTGGGTGGCGCGAAGCCCATGCTCGACAGCCCCCCGGCGGCGGCGCCCCCGCCGCGATGCCGCTTCGCTGTCGCTTACGGCGACGCGGCGGCGCAAGGCCGCCCCCCGCCGCGGAGCCGCATGGCGCCGCCGCCGCCGCGACGGGCCGGCAACGGCGAGGACCTACCAGCCTGGAGCATACGTCGCCGCGCCGTCCGTTCCGACGCGATGCTTTCCTCCTCCTCCTCCTCCTCCTCCTCCTCCTCCTCCTCCTCCTCCTCCTCCTCCTTCTCCTCCTCCTCCTCCTCCTCCTCCTCCTCCTCCTCCTCCCCTCCGTAGCCTCCCCTGGTCCAGTGGATCCATCTGCGGGCGCGCGTGGGGGGAGCGCAGCCCGCAGGAGCCATGGAGAAGATAAGATGAAGGAGAAGCTCAGGATGCCTTGAGCACTCTCGCGAGCCTTGCAACATCAGGTGCGAAGTACATCGGTAGATTCGCCATCCCGACTGTTGATGATCAAGACCTTGAGCATTCTCGAAGGCATTGCACCGTCAGTGGCGAAGTACATCGGCAAGTTCGTCACCCCAGGCGTTGTGATGATCAAGGCCCGCCAGAAGAAGGCGACCAAGGCCACGAATCGTGGGATCTTCGGCAAGGTCGTCTTTGTGAAGGCGAACGCTCTCAAGAAGTACACCCACTAGCTGGGCTGAGAGTCTCGGCCCGTTGGTGGCGGTTGTGTCGGGCATTGGCCCTGCCTCGTTGCCACTGCTGGGTGCCTCGGTTTTCTGGCTTGTCCCTCGTCGCGTCGCCGCGGCTGGACTCGCCTCGGGCCGTTGGGCCGTTTTGGTTTTCCTGACGCGGGTCGCCCCTGTGCCTTCCCCGTCGCCTCGTCGGGGTGCGGTTCGAAAATGCGGCGCGGCGTAGGTCCGCGCCGCGGGCCTGGGCCTGTGTGCCAGGGCTTGGAAGACGCAGGCCGCCTCATCAGATCCCTAAGATCCCTCCTCCTCCTCCTCCTCCTCCTCCTCCTCCTCCTCCTCCTCCTCCTCCTCCCCCTCCTCCTCCTCCTCCTCCTCCTCCCCCTCCTCCTCCTCCTCCTCCTCCTCCTCCTCCTTCCTCCTCCCCCTCCTCCTCCTCCTCCTCCTCCTCCTCCTCCTCCTCCTCCTCCTCCTCCTCCTCCTCCTCCTCCTCCCCCATCCTCCTCCTCCTCCTCCTCCTCCTCCTCCTCCTCCTCCTCCTCCTCCTCCTCCTTCTCCTCCTCCTCCCCCTCTTCCTCGGGCATCAGGGCACACCCCGCCTCGGGCACGGCGGGCTCGCCGTGGGTTTGCCGCGGCGCCGGCCTCGTCTGCTCGGGCGCGGGGCGCCAGGCGCGCCGTGGGTTCGCCACGGTGTCGGTGTCGTCCATTTGGCCGCGTCGAGGGCAAACTGCGCGGCGACAGATTCCGATCCCTACGGTTTGCATCACGTGATCGCGATGCTGATCTCAGGGGGCCCTTCTATTATGAGGGTGCATCCCTAAGGTTGCCATCGCAATCGGGCTTGTCAGTCGCACGGATGCCGCCATGTGCGCAAAAAACGCCCATCCAATAGAATCTGTCGAGAGAGAGAGAGAGAGCGACGCCACCCCCAGCGCCCCTCATTTGCACGCCTCAGGGTCGACCGCCGCGAACTTTGAGGTTGGGCTCGGGGGCTTGACCCCGCTTTCATCTATCTTCGACATGGGCGGTCAATTCGAGAACCAGCTACGCATAGTCAATCTCAGGGATAGGGA